CACCAATCGATTCAGGAGAGTTTTTCCTTTGAGAATATGTATAACATGTTGACTGAAACCGTTTGGCAGCCGAGATATTCAATTTAGTCGCGGTTTTGTCACTTTTTGCCCAGTGTGGGGTGTTTTGGTGTTCGAAATCTTTGATCACCTTTATGTGCTTAATTAAGGCCAAATCTCGATTTGAAGGGTGTTCTGGTGTATAATCTTATCGACTTGAGAGGTGTTTCACGATTTGAGGGGTGTTATTCCAAGTAGCATTTCTTGTTTTATTGCACTCTATTAGTGGTTATTGAGATCAATTTCATAAAACCGCCAATAAAATTAATAGCTCCAGCACAACCTTTTGATAACCGCTATAAGATCGTCATACAGCTTAGTGGACCACTCTTGATAAGGTTTATAAAGCATGTTTGAGAATCACAATAAAGCTGTCTTAAAACCTTTTGTCAGGAAGCCTCATACTCTACAAAAGGTTCTCATAGCCTCTATAAGAGTAATATTGTATCCAAGCAGTTTTATTACGCTTTGGTGAAAATCAGTTATAAAGCCAATTTAATTTGTATTGGCTTCAAAGCAACCGCCATAAATTAGCTTGTTGTTGTTCTGTTCTGCTGAAACTTTTTTTCCAAATGGAAATCTTTAGCGGTAAAAATAGGTTTGAGTGTTAGTATCAAGATCACCATGCAATCAATTTTGTTTCATGGCGACATTAGTGAAAATCTTTAAGAAAATATATGACTTTTTAGAAGTTCCAAAACATATGCGCTTGAAATGTTATCGTGTATATTGAGATAATATGAGCGTTAAATAAATGCGCCTCCAAAATAATTCAAGTTAACAAAAAAGATTGTTTCAGAAATCAAATGAATTTGATAGAATCACCTTAATTTTACAGAAAATAGATCTCAATACATAAATTCATACCAATGCACACTGGAAATCATTTCGGATCTCTTATTTAGCCATTATTTTATTGAAATTTCTTGGATTTTATTCCAAGGCTAATGGCCTTTTCATAATGACAATATGGCGACAGAAGACAGCAGGCAAGAAAAACACCAAGCGCAATTTCTTAAAATGTCTAATGCTTACATTGCACACTGGGTCAGGAATGCAACCTAGCAGAGCAAAATTAATAACTCCGAAACGAAGCATTTCCGTGACTTGGTGTCTTCGGCAAAATTTTTCGTCATAATAAGGACTATCTATTGACATAAACAAGTAGTTCAAAACTCTTCCGCAAAGATGGTGTCACAATCTTACTTCTTTCTCTGACGTTTTGGAAACTTGATGTCTTCGGCAAAGTTGTTTATCTTGACAAAATGAACAGCTCTTTCAAAGACGTAAAATTTCCACAGACTACTGGTTCCAAGTTATATGGAGTTAAAGAAAAAAATGTCGAAAATATGGTTTTTTTTTCTGTTTCGGTTTTTTTGCTTACAGATTTATAATGTTATATTTTTCTCTTATGAAAATACATTTAATAAACAGCTTTTGTGAAGAAACATACTGGATTAAGCTTCAAATTTCAAAGACATTGTTGAAAAAACGAGAAGAAAAACACAATTTTGACATTTTCAGCAAAAATTAAGCAATACTCGATAAACAAAATATCAAAATTTGAGAGAGGTATATTTTGGTGTTTTGTAGATTTCTTCATTTTAGTGGAACATGTTTTTTTTTCTATAACTTTTTTTAATGCATTGAATTTGTGTTTCGAAGACTTCACGACTTTGTCAAAGTTGGTTATCTTGATAAAATAAACAACTTTTCTTAATACGTTAAAACTTCACAGCCTACTGTTTTCCTATATTCCTATATATTCCTATAAAAAAAATGTATATTCCTATTCTACGATGAATTTTAAAAACATTTAGAAAAGTTTTGAATGGTACATTAACCTTTATGAAAAGTTATGCGTGATTTCAACCTTTTTGTCCTAGGACTGTCACCATTCCATGTATTTCGACCAAGATTCGACCGTGTCACCCCATGTATATGCGAGCGAGAACGGAAGAATCATGGAGATTGCTGACGTTTTTCTTACGCACACTACGTCGCGTATACGTATACACGAAATGTTTTCATGCTCATGCTAACAATTTTGTTGATTTTTTTATGCATTACATTTTTTATTTTTCTATGTTGTAAAAATAAACCACCTATTTACATTTCTGACAAGTTGCAACTGAATGCTTATAATTGTTTTAAAATAACTGTTTCATGGCCAACTAGTTTTATTGCGCTTACTTATAAAGCAACGATAGGATTTATTTTTTGGTTTTATAAGGGCAATTTATAATACTTTTTTGTATACTTCAAAGCAATCATAAAACCTTTCATAAGTGAAAATAGCATAAGCATCAGTTGGTTTTTTAATTAGTTTTATAGGGGTTTTGTAGTTAGCTATAAGGTTGTTTCATGACTTGCATTGTATATGACTGTCATAAAGCTGTAGGTTATGGTTGCAGCTGCAATAAAACCTTTATAAATTTTGAATATAGCCAAGCAGCTCTAGATTTGTTACTTGGGATGGTATTCGAAATCTTAAATCTCGATTCTCGCCTTAATTAAGGCCTAAATAGCGATTTGAGGGGTGTTTTGGAGTTCGAAATCTTTACTCGCGTTTATCTCCTTAATTAAGGTGGATTTGTGGGGTGTTCATGTGTTCGAAACTTTAAATCTCGATTATCGCCTTAATTATGGCCTAAACCGTGATTTGGGAGGTATTTTAGTGTTCGCAATCTTTAATCGCCCTAAAGTTTTTTTTTTTTATAGAATAAAGGGTGTCCACGATGAAATTGCCACACACAAAATTGATTCGCAAAATTCGAGTTTTCATCCGATTGCCATCAAATTTTCAGGGATTGAGAAATAACTATTAAACTTCATTTTACCATTTTACTCGTATTTTATTTACAGTCCATACGCAAATGCCCGCACCTTGGCCTTAACCCCGGCCATAAGATTCTGCAAAACCTGTGAATCAACCGTTTTTTGCATGTAAACCCATACTTTCTTCAGTTCCTCGACTGTCTTCACTACCTTAGGTCGTTTAAGAAGGTGCTGCTTCATAATCGCCCAGTACTTCTCGATGGGGCGGAGCTCCGGAGTGTTGGGAGGGTTGAACATTTTCGGCACGAAATTGACCTTATTGTCCGCATACCACTTCAGCACGTCCTTGGAGTAGTGGCATGAGGCCAAATCCGGCCAGAAGATTGTTGGGACGTTGTGGGCCTTCAGGAGAGGAAGCAGCCGCTTCTGGAGGCACTCTTTTATGTACACCTGTCCGTTCATCGTGTCCTGGGTCACGAAAGGTGCACTCCGCTTCCCGTCCGTGCAGATGGCTTGCCAAACCAGGAATTTCTTCGCAAATTTGGACATCTTCTGAGTGCGGACATGCTCCGGAACGCTGAACTTATCCTTGGCCGTGAAAAACAGGTTGCCGGGGATCTGTTTGAAGTCGGCCTTCACATATGTTTCGTCGTCCATGATGCAGCATTCAACTTTCGTCAGCATGTTGAGGTACAACTTCCTGGCACGGGTTTTGGCGGACTTGTTCTGCTTCTCGTCGCGATTAGGGGCCTTTTGTACCTTGAACGTTCGAAGCCCAGCCTTAGTTTTGGCCTTCTGGACAAAACTTCGGCTTAGGTGCAGCTTCTTAGCCACATCCCTAACGGAGGCGTTCGGATTTCGGTTGAAGGCCCCAACTACGCGGTTGTGATTTTTGGTGTTGTACGGAATACTTTTTCCTTCACTTCTGGGCTTCCGATCGGTGGTCAACCGTTCCTCGAACCGCTTAATCACTCGCGACACCGTGGAATTCGCGATTCCCAACGTTTTAGCGATGGAACGATGCGAGAGATCCTTGTTCTCGTGATGAATGCGCAAGATTTTATCATGCACGAGCTGTTCTTTCGACTCCATTTCCGCGAGTTTTGATCACAGGACTTTAAAACTTGCAGGATGTAAATAATGCACTATGAACTAAATCCACTCAAATTTTCATTAAATTCTACCCTACGGTTAAAAAGTTAGAGCAATTTCATAGTGTGGTAATTTCATCGTGGACACCCTTTAAGTTCACTGCCATAGACATTCAATGTTGACTAACAACAACAATCATAACTTCACCTAAAAACCTTCATCATCTGTATAAAAGCGTAAAAACAATGCATGTGACACATTACCGGTTCCGCAATTCTTTCGCTCCAGAGCACGGTCAGCACGGCAGCCGGTTATGCAAGTTGGTGTGATTGCGACGGTACAGAAAAAAAAACTTCAAAGCTCTTCAAACGACCGATGATTCTAGATCCATGATATCTGATAGCCATGCAACCAACACTCTGTGAAGCACAGTGAATTGTAATCCAGAAACAACAAAAAAACGAAATCATTTGAAGCGTATCACTGCATCATCGGTTGCAACTTGCATCACACTGGCACTGTACGTACACCTCGAACGGCCACAGCTGCATATATAGAAATGACACTGCACTGAGTTTGCACACGGGATGCAGTGATTTATGGCGATCGGTGATGGTTGGCAAATTTCTCATTCTGCCCGCTCTAGTTTTTTTCAGAACTTTCGTCATTAGATTGAAGATTGGAAAACAAAGACATTTTTTTGCATACGGAACGAAAAATTCACACTTATTTGGTTTTGTGCACGTTTCGGCAACGGAACAGGAAACTATGGCTTGGTTCTCACGCGCAGAACTTGTTGAAAACATTGCATTTTGCATTCCCGGCGAAATTTACGGCAATCTAATCGCCATAAATCACTTCCCGGTAACGGCTTCTGAAGCTGAATTGTCGCTTCTCCGCCACTTGAAGATAGACAGAGAGAGTGAGAGAGAGTGGTGCGCTGGGCAAACACATGTGACAAACGCCATTGACGATGCAGAATGGTTTACGGTCCTTCAAGTGATAAATTGTGCTTCTTATTTCGTATCTTGAATGAAAAAGTAACCTACGAGTGGATGGATTTGCATTCTTACCTTTATATTGACCGAGAACGAGGATGGAATCTGTAACGAGATGGAAGAAATGCGTTGATTAATAAAAGGCTGTTGACAATGATGATTTTGAGAAACTGCACTGAAATTACTTGATGTGAACTCGAAATGGCAAAATTGGAAAATCATTGAAGCGACTATATTTGCATGCAATATTTTTCTCTAGTTCCACGTTTTCCAGAATTCTTGGGTGATGGATCATTAGGGAGAAATTATACGAATGCTGAGCTCCATCGTCTATGTCAGCCGATCTTAACAGAAATTCAAGATCGTAAGTTGAGGTGTGCCGCCCACTTTATTTGTATTGGAATTCGGACATATGGCGGCGGAGTGCCAGTAAAGAAATAAAAGGAGAAGACCGAAATTTGACCAGTGTTTACTTCAAGGTGAAAGCAAACAATGACCTAAGATGAAATACATGCTCCAAATATACGAGTGAGCATAAAAGATCGAGCGATCAAGTTCACTTCAAACATATTTCGCAACCATTACAGCCGCTAGCAGATGCAACTCGAATATCCAATTTACGTCTCTAAGCCTATGCGTAATCCCATCGGATTTCCTGAACGACTCACTTCCTAGAGAGACAATCCTAAACACTTTCGCTGCCAATATGTATTTACTGAAGTTTATGTCATATGCAACAGCATTGCGGTAAACCGCAGCTCTACTGGCAGCGAAATCGATTTCCATGTTTTCACTTTTCCTGACTAACCAGAAAGGGCACAGGTATTCAAAACAGCAAGCAAAAAGCAAACGACATCGACAGATTTTGCCACCTACGGCTACTACTATGGCTTAGGACACAAAACCATTGTATATTTGCCCTTGCTAGGTAAAAGCACTTCGTTCGTCCTGCATGCGGTTGTACACACGGATTATCCAAAGTCGACAACAGACGACGTTCGTTCGCATGGGAATATCGATCACTAGAGGCAACGGATATTGGAAGCAACCTTGACCTTGGATCGGACTGGGAGATTATCATACTGTTGTGTTGCGAGTTGTTATGTTTCAGTTTGAATCCTAACGTTTCAGCCTACGTGTAATTGAATTTCCCGCTCCATCCGCCTTTACCAAGGGTTCATGTTTCGGCACAGTCTGTACCGAGGCTGGCTGTTTGCAAATTTGCTGCAGTCACGATATCCTTGAAACTTTTCAATCGAGAACCGTATTTTTTGTATGTCGATGGAGTGAGATACGAATCTTGAACATTCCAGAAGTATTGCACATAACTCTGCCACGAACATCAAAACTATTTGCTTGTCAGATCACCCTAAACTATTTCAATGCCAGAGCTGACATGATGTCACGTTTTGAAGTTATTCTCCACAAAAGGCCGAACGTGGCATTCCTCGTAGGATTTTTTTTATTGAAGTCATACCAGCAGCTCTACGGTAGGCCCATCTCTCTCTATTTCCAGTTACCGCAATGCATATTACCATACACAGTGTTGTTCATGATGACAGAGGAACCTCTAGCCGGCAGAGGGTTCTTTGTGCTTATGGAAATTTTTCCCATACCGTATGACGTCAGAACTCGATTTCTCCCCATTATTCTTACTGGCGAGCTGTGCCGCACTACTGTTTTCGTTCAATTAACGGACGACGGAAGCCCCGTTTTGCATATTTCTATGAACGTGCATCCACTTTCATTGTCGGTGCAATGTTCTCTTTAATGAAACATTTGCAGATGTAGTGTTCGAATTGGATGTTCTCAGTGGATCAATACAGAGGCCTTTTGATGGTTGAGTTGAGGGCGGTGGTGCACGGTGGAAAGCTGGAAATAAATATTCAACTGGCCTGTCGGTTTATTCAAACTATCTGAACGTATACTAATGCACGTCGAAGCACATATGTATTAGGAAAAGATGCCATAGAGTACAGAGAACCGGTTACAGTTCAAGGAAGCTGTAACTGACAACGACTAGATTAAGGTGTTTCGCTGTGAGATACTTATTCTTGTAACCACTTCGAAACTTTACATATGTGCAAAAATATCAGCTTTTACGATACGTACCACAATGAAACTGTTACTCTACGATTGCTGTACTGCAGCATACATGAAGTAGCAATTTCAGGTTAAATGGGGCATTTATTTCCGAGATGAGTTTAAGTAAAAATTCGAAGTGGAAGTGCATGCCTACGTGGTGGCCATTTGTGGCCTCTGCAAGGAATCACCACAAATTGAACAGGGTTTTATTTAAAAAAAAATGTTTTTAATCGCATCTCCAGAGCCAAATGTCCGATCAGGGTGAAATTCAATAGGGTTCTATGAGAAACAAATACAAACAAAATGGAATCGGTTGCACTTCAATCGATCCAATTATCTCCGAGAAAAATGAGTGAGTATTACTGTCTATTGAAACATTTCACTTTTTTGATAACATCTCCGGAACCAAATGTCTGATGAGGGTGAAATTCAACGGGGTTCTATGTAGCATTGGGCGATCTTGATGCAAGAATCGATCTTAGTGAATCGATTCATTTTTTTGAAAATAAAATAATAAAGTTGGTGCAAATTAAGCCAAGTTCAGTCTAGAGTTGATACTACGTTACATAAGCTATCTTGTTATGACATTTCATCTATAATAGTCATTTAGTGTGAAGATTGATATCAGTTAGCAATAAAATGTGTAGTACGTACGCAGTGAATGTTGTGAGTGTAACATACATAACTGCTGGTAATTAAAATAGGTGTAGGGAAAATAAATGCGAAATTTTAGGTTATGTTCCTTCAACTTCATTTTATTCGACTTTTAAGTTAAGCATTTGATAGTGTAATAAAAATTAAGTCTCCTGATGAATGTGGGCGTCTTAGTGGAATTTCGGCGTCTTATTAAAAATTAAGTAATTGCACGAGAAAACTCAAAGTCAAAACATTAAATGACTCACTCATTAGAATCATATATAAAATATGCATGGTCATATGGAATATGTGTGTTGCATAGAAAGCTTGAAAATAATCGTATAAGTTTAGACTAATGACGTTTAGTAACAGCTGCGCCCTCCATTACTAAGTACAGGGCTGTTACAAGATTTTCTAAAATCGATCCGCGAAATCCGCGATTCCTCAAAATAAATCCGCGACTTCAAATACTAATCCGCGACAAAAAAAACTGTTTTCATTGCCTAAAAATACCATTTGTATAATACTACATGGTATTTCAAGCTTATTGCTTACAGCATATTAGATGTTTGCCTTCTCTCAACTTAGTACTTCAACTTTCACATTTTAATTGAGAGCTTTCTATACCTGTACCATCCTATCCTCAATTGTCCAACCCCAAAAATTAATAGACCGGACGGGAATCGAACTCAGTCGCCTCCAGCATGGACCTGCTTTGTAGCTGCGTCTTTACCAACTGAGCTAAAGGAGTATCGTTTGTAAACTTAAAACGACCCCGGCGTAGTGGTTAGCATTCATACCTCTCACGCCAAAGTCACGAGTTCAAATCTCACCCCCGGACAAGTCACGAATGACCCAAGAGCGTTAAAGTGACTATAAATAAAAGCAAAAGCAAAAAAAAAAAAAAAAAAAATTATGTATTTATTTTTTAAAAAATTTATGTATTTTCATTTGAAATGCAAATTTTCTTGAAAGTTTACCTTTGCGTCTCCGACGTATTTTGGTGTTAATTTGACTCTAGTTTTCTCAATTTTTGACCGATTCAAACCAAACACTTGCACATAATCGAGAAATTGCCAGAGTTTCATAAGTCACACTTATTGGTCACGTCGCGGTTCTGTATCTACACGGATATTCCTTGGGGTCTGCCGAATCGTATTCATGTGACTGTGTGGATCATGAACGACTTATTACTATGTATACCGGAAATTATAGGCTTTCCAAATCGTCCAGGACATCAGTTGATTTGTTCTACTAAATCAACCAAGACTACAATAATGTCTGTAGTATCAAAAAATGTCCAGTCAGATTCAAAGTGTCTATGTGGATCATGCATGATCTATTTCCGAGTAATCCAGATGTTGTAGGTTCTTCAAATCGTCCTGGAGTTCAGATAATTTGATCAACTAGATCAACCGAGATTGGGACAATGTCTTTAGTATCGAAATATTTCCAGACAACTGCACAGTGTCTATGTGGATCATGCATGAACTATTGCCATGTATACCAGATGTTTTAAGTTCTCCAAATTGTTCTGGAGTTCAGATGATTTATTCTACTAGGTCAACCATGACTGGGATAAAGTCTGTAGTATCGAAATATTGTTTGGATTCATAGTCTCTATATGGATAATGTTTAATTATTTTCACGTATATTAGATGACTAGGTTCTCCAAATCGTCCTGCACTTCAGATGATTTATTTTACTAGATCAACAAAAACTAGGATAATATCTGTAGTATCGAAATATCGATTTGGAAATCCTAGAACATTTTGCATACACGGAAATAGGTTGGCATGATCCACATAGACACTGCAAATTTGTTTGGGCATATTTCGATACTACAGATATTGAATTAGTCTTGGGTGATCAAGTAGAAAAATAATCTGATCTCCAGAATGATTTCAGAACCTATAACATCTTGTATACGTAGCAATAGGTCGGGTACAATCCACATAGACACTTTGAATCTGTTTGGACATTATTGCAGTCTTGGTTGATATAGTAGAACAAATCAACTGAACTCCAGGACGGTGTGGAGAATCTAGAATATCCGGTATACATGGCAATTACTCGCATATATACGATTCGTTTATGATTTGACAACGAAAAATGCTATGTTCATATTGGAAATAAAAAAAAAACATGATAATGTCTCACATTGGACAAACCTCAGGAAATTTCCGTGTAAATCCGGTATGACTTATGGAATTAAGATCATTTCTAGATTATTTGCAGGGTGTTTAGTTTGAACCGGTAAAAAATTGAAAGCCAAATGAACAACAAAATTGATGACAGCTAAATAATACGGGACGGAAAGGTTACAATGAATTCCACAATTTGTGTGACAGTACATCATTCAATTCGCTATTTTCGCGACATCA